TGTCTGCCCCAGTGACCCACCGGCCCCCGCCGTGCTGGGCTCCACCGGTTCCATGGGACCTGCTGCCCGGTCTCAGGACCTCCTGGCCGGAAATCCGGGGAGCTGGTGGTCGCCCAAGCTGAGGGGGCCTTGCCCGGTGCCCGCCCCATGTCAGCCTCCCGTGAGAGACCTGTTTTACTGCACACATTTTGAGCTGGAGTCACCCCTCTTTGCAAAGAAGCCTTGCGACTTGGAGGGTTTGTGTATGCCACGGCTCTGCCCTGCCTGAAGTGCTCCTGCTGACCACGTCCGTGCCCATAAATCAGTCAGCAGATAGTGGCCTGCGTCAAGTCCTCGATGATGGCCACATCCTTCGAGCTCCCCACTTAAAATTCCCATGGGCCCCCGGGAGGGCAGTGTGGCCGCGCTAGCCTGTGTTCATATAGCTTGACACCCACTCCCTGGAGGGGTGAGGGCTTTTCCTATTTCCGGGGGGCAGGCGGCAAGGAGAAGTGCTTCTTTTGGCAGAATTACAGCTTGTTCTGTAGGGGGGTGCACGTGGGACCCTGTGGCCGAATGCCTGTCAGCACCCCCTTTCTGGAAAGGCCTGTAGAGTCTGACTGCTGGGCTGTGAGAATAGTGGTTAGGGCCATAGAGTCAAACTCATTTGTGAGGCGTGTTTTGGGTACATATTATTATTATTATTATTATTATTATTATTATTATTAGTTTTTTGTTGTTTCAGTAGCTGGGATTGAACCCAGAGCCCTTTTTAAAAAAAAAAAATTTTTTTTTTTTTTGAGACAAGGTCTCATTAAGTTGCCCAGGCTGGGCTCAAGCGTGTAACTTTAGACATAGCACTAACTCTTCTGAGCCTCAGTTTCCCCACCGGAAAAGAACTAATCACAGTGCCTCATCTGTGAGCTTGCAATAACACTGGAAAGGCACTTGATACATGGCAGCCGACCAGCTACTGCCATTACCCTGTCCGTCCTCAAGAAGGTACACAGCAATAGACTCAGGTTTGCTCCTGAGCTTGTGATTCAGGATGCCCAAGGCCAGGCCCCGGTCCACTGCCTGTGGCCACCCAAAGTCTGCTGAAGTGTGCATGGGGCCTTGGAGGATCAGAGAAAAAGCATTGCAATGCCCATGTGGAAGCCCTCAGCCTGGGCTGGCCAGCCGGCCTCAGGGGGGAATCCACTCCCAGGCCCTGCCGCCATCTTGGTTCACCTTGGCCTTTCTTCGACAGACGGGCGTGTGGCCCTTGCCCTCCCCCAGCAGCAGGTGGCCTTTGCAGCCTGGCACCTGTTCCTGGAGGTTGGCTGCCAGGAAGGTGCAAACCCAGGAATTGCCCTCTTGGTGTGTCCTCCTCCGTAGTACAAGGCCGGTGTGCTCCCCACAGGGGCTGGCCTGGGTCTGTCCTGGAGGAGGAGATCAAAGGAACGGCCGCTTTTCTCACCCCAGGGTCCCCTCCTCACCCTCCAGGTGAGTCACAGGAGAGCCGAAGCTTGCGTCCTGAGATCTGTATGCTGGGAACCTTTGGGGAAGAGAGATGACCGGTGAGAGGATGTGGAGGATGGTGGCAGGGTATGGGTGAAGGGTCTGGCTTTTATCTCCCGAAGGCAGCAAGCAAGCCGAGTTCTCTCACATTTTCATTTTATTAATAGAGGAAGGAAACAGCTATTTACTGAGTGCTGACTGCGTTTCAGATCCTGTGCCGTGACTCTTGTGGGATCGAAGGGCACGAGGCAGGCGGTGGTTCGATTCCTATTGTCCCCGGCAGGAAATCAGGTTCTGATAGGTTAAGTAACTTACCTGGGTTCACCCAGTTCATTTAAGGGGGGCTGCCTTTTGCAATGGCTCAGAGATGCACCAGTGTCTCCTGTGCTTTGGAAAACACAGAACTGTATTTTAAACAGTTTTTGAAACTAGCTAAAAGGAAAAAAACAATCACTTGAAACAACTATTGTGGTACAACCTTGTTTAGTATTTAGTGTAATTTCCTGCTTGTATTTTCTCCCTGTAGGGGCTTTGTGCATTTGTGTAATGTGCATTTTACATAATTTAGGATGGGAAGAGAGTATGGTTTTGATTGGGTCCCCGGATGAGACAACAGGGTCTCCTGAGCCAGGACTCGTGAGGACTCAGTGTCAGCGAAGTGGGAAGCCTGGGTTTGGCTCTGAGCCATCTTATCAGTCACGAGACTCCTGAAGTCGTGTCGGTGAAGGGATGGGCGAGTCAGACCCCCGGGTGCTCTCCTGGGTTGGTTTTGCCCAGTTAAGTGGTCGAATTTTCCTTTTAACTCGCTTCCTTCTTGCTTTTGACGAATGGGAATATTTGTACCATTTTCCCGGATGACCTCTTCTCCTTGGGGTAATGAGAAAATGAAAGTCTTTGCTAAGTGCTTTGAGATATTCAGATATAAAAATGGAGAGCAGAGTGTTGGCGTGGGCCTTCGGCTGCCAGGGCACTGTAGAAGGAGGAAGCCAGGTTGGTGGGGGTGAAGGTCAGCTCTGGGATGGGGCTGTTGCTGGAACCGCGTCCCTCTGGACTCGGGCCCGGGGAGTCCGTGGCCTGGCTGGGGAGGGGTGGGCTTTGCGGGCTGCCCCTGCCCATCCTCCGGGTGCAGACTCCAAGGCCAAGGTGATACAGAGCACTCAAGCAGAGCCCCTTCCTCGGCTCGCATCTTGTGGATAAATGATCCGATTCAAGGAGAGGTGTCCCCCGCCTGTCTTCGCAGCGCCAGCCCAAGAATAACACGGCAGCCTAAATACTGTGTCACCTACTCGAATAATCATCCCGGAGGTGATTTCGAAACATGGAAAAACTGTGTGTGATCGGGTGAGAATGTGTCCCCCACCCCTCCATTTGCCGGGTGACATGTAGACCACGGTGGAAACTATAAAAATGCAGACGCTCAAAGGACAAAGCCTGAAAGGTAGTCCTGCAAATGAAAATTATAACGTTAAGGGCAGCAGGACGAGGGTGATTTGTTTTTTATTTCACAACATTTTATTTAAATTCCCCCCTATGATTAAAAACCAACAAAGCCAACGTGTCGGCCCAGCAGGGAGCCCTGGCAAGGGTGGGAGGCGGGGCAGCGCCGGGCGGGCGAGAGGGCGCCTGTACCCACGGCCCCCGCAGGGCGCTGAGCTCACTGGCTCTGCCAGCCCTGGAGACCTATGAGATCTCGGGAAGCCGAGGCGTATCGGTGACTCAGAACTCCGTGTTGTGCTGTTCAACAATAGCTTTTGTCCTTTGCCCAAAACCCTAGGCCAGTGTGTGGAAAAAAATTTATAAAATTATGAGATAGTTTGTACTTTCCTTACCAGCCGGTGCCAGCTATGGGTGCTTTATTTATTCAAGGTGGGGAGGCAGGGAAGGCGGGGTTGGAGAGGGGGAAAGAAAGGAAAAGAAAAACAAGGTAGAACTCGGACAAGGCCCAAGAAAGGTTTGCGCCTCCACAACAAACTTTCTTTTGTTTCATGGGTGGGGAGAAAAAAATAAGAAGGAAAAAATGCAGAAGCCAGTTCGAACCAAATAAAACTCCCCGGGCTGTGTGCGTGGCGTGGCCCCTCTGGTTTCCCTGCAGTGGGCTTTGCCTCTTATTTGTGCAGCAGGGAGGCCGAGGGGTGGGGGACAGGCCCAGGAGGAAGGGGCTGAAGCCAGAGGCCAGGTGGGAGCACCAGGGCTGGACCGGGCCTGGCGCTCTGGCCAATGTCGCCCAACTGCCAGCAGCCTTTGCCCTCACTTCCAGCTGGGCTAAAAAAGATTCTTACCTCCTAGAGTCCAAGAAGCTGCCACTGCTAGTGGCCCCAGAGTTCGGGGGGATCAGGGGCAAAGACGCCTTGGCCCTGTGTTGGTTTAGACTAGATCTGGTCTCCCAGTGGCTTCTGAAGAGTTGGTTGTTTTGTTTTGTTTTGTTTGGTGGTCTTGGGGATCGAACTCAGGACCTTCATACTGAGCTACCCCTGTTTTATTTTTATTTTGAGACAGGGTCTTGGGGTCTAGCTGAGTCATAAGTTGCCTGGGCTGGGCGCCAACTTGTGCAATCATCCTGCCTCTGCCTCTCAGCGTGCTGGGGTTACAGGTGTACGCCAGCACACAGAAGGCATTTTAAGACTAAGACTCAGGAGTGAGGGCCTCGGGACAGTTGGGGAGAGCTGTGGGAGTGTGTGTGAGAATGTGTGAGACCATGTGTGTACATGAACGCTGTGGTTGTGTGTAAGCAGTTGCACGTGTGATTGTGAGATTGTGGGTGAGTGGATGTGCAAATGATTGCGTGTGATTGTAGATCTGTGTGAGTGACTGAGACTGCGTGTGTCTCTCTCTTGTCAGTCGCTCCCCCAAACAGAATAAAATTTCAGGGGAGCTTTATATCTATTTCTTCACATATTACTTGCTTCCCTGCCCCAAACATGCTCTCCTTATGGGGTGTCCTGGGATAGCAGGTGATTTTTCCAGATTAGCTTGGGCACTTTTGTGGAAACCCTGCAGGGTCTTCTCTTGGGCAGTTGTTTGTCCAGGAGGAGAAAGGAGGCTGTGGGTTCAAGACAGAGTCACAGAAACCAGAGGGGTCCTCATCCGGGAAGCAGACACCTGTGTCTGTGACCCTGGTAAAGACCCCAACTCCTGCTCTGGGCTCAGGGATGATTCACAGTCCGGCTTCTGAGGCTCCTGTGGGCTTCTATGCACCTTCCTGATCTCTGAGTCCGTGTGACCTTCCCCAGAAGAGGGTGGCTCAGGGATTACTGTCCGTGTTGTACGGATGAAGAAATCGCGGCCAGGAGAGGGGAGGCCATTTGTCAAAGGTCCCCAGCTAGTCCAGGATAGATTTGGAACCAGGGATAGGCTGCTTGGAAACCCGGTCATCTCACCCAGTGGCACAGGGCAGGGCTGACCAGTTCTACACACGGCATTACACTTCCTTCCGCAAAGGGACACTCCTGGGGTGGGGGTGGGGTGTCAGGGTTTGTGGCTGTGGCTGGGGGTGACTGATCTGCTGGTTCTAGGGACTTTTCTGTGGAGGAAAGAGCCCCCGGACAGGGACACAAACAAGGGGTTTCTAGCCCCCCTCTGCCACTGATGAGCCCCCGCCTCCCAAGCTCGGGGCTTCATCTCCTTGGAACCAGAGGAAGGCATCGGTGGTTCCTCGGTGTCTCCCAATTCAGGGCAGCTGGAGGTTCCTGCCACCATCCAGAGCCTCCAGCTGTGCCATGCAGCAAACCCTCTCCCACAACCTGTCAAACCAGAGATGCCAGTTTCCCTGAGGCTCCCAGCAGCTCCCGCCCCTATCTTGTACCAGGCAGAGCCTCTGCAGACTCGGCGGGCAGTGCCCGTGGCCTGTGCCCCGTACACCTGCTTATTGATAACCGCGTGTCTGCGTGAACCTTGGGCCAGAGCCCTTTGGTTTGAACTTGCCTTGTTTCGAGAGGCTGACACGTGAGAAAATTACAAGCAGAGGAGAGGAGTGGTACCTTATGACAAGAGGCAGCTGTGAAGACAGGGGCAGGCTCGTGCCCAGGGTGAGCACCATCTGGGCGGGAGGCCTGGCTTCCAGCTGTGGGGGCCTGGAAGGGCAGAGCCTGGGAGGAATGATTCTGAAGCCACTACTATGGAGATTAAGGGGATGAGAATGTAAATCTCAAGTAAAAAGGTAATTGAATGTAATAGCAAACACTGCTCGCTCTATGTTAATTTTAGCTCTTCCCCTGGATACAAGACGCTGTATTAGTGTTTTATTACCATTTTGTTTGCACTAATAAAATAGTAAAATTTATTTCAAGGAAGTTGAAGGATGGTTTTACAATGCAAATTTGAAGAAATTGGACTTTTCATTTATGCCTCTGCTATTTTAAACCCTGACGGGTGTAAATTAGCTGCAGGAGCTGAGCAGACCCCACTGACGGGGTCTGGGGAGGTGGGAGCCAGGGCAGAGGTTCCCGACTAACTCGGGGCGGGAAGGAGAGAGCCCAGCCTGAGAGGCCGGGGCCACTCCAGAGCCTGGGCTGGGTGGTAGGTCAGAGAGGGTCGGGCACCAGTGCCATGGAGCTGGTCAGTAGGCACACACGTGCCCACAGACCTCAGACTTCGTCTTGTCCCTCTCTGAACCTTGGCCTCCTCCTTCCTGTCCTGATATTCACTTCGATTAGACCAGCTAGACACACGCATCCTTTGAAGGGGGGACACACAGGGCGGGCATCAGAATCTGCAGCAAAGACCCTGACCCTAAACAGAACCCAGAGTGGGAAGCGGGGACTTGGACCCAAAACCAGCCCAGGAAGGTGGCCAAACGTGTCCACCTTCCCCCGTCTTCCCTCTGGCCCAGACTACTTGAGAAAGTGGAGCAGGGTTTTAAGACGCACTGTCTTTCCAAGGTAGTTGAGCCCAGCTTGGTGATGGTGGTGGTTTTCGAGAACCAAAACCTAGAAGATTGAATGTTTTTTCTTTTTTTAAAACAAACCAAATCCGCCAAGTGGGCTGAATTTTAGGAAACCCAAGGATGATAGAGGAAGGCAGAGAGGACAGGAAAACGGTGATAGGAAAGGTTCGTTTTGAGTTTTGGTTGAAGGATTCAGGTTGGATCTTGTTTTATCCAAACCGGTTTGTTTATCTCTGAAAAATTATCGGCAGCAATGGCCCAAAGGGATGCATGGGGGACCTGCTTCCAAAGGGTAGGGAGCTCAACAAGTGTTGTAGTGTCTGGCGGAGTTGGCGGCATGTACTGCCCAGGGTTTTCTGGCTGGCTGCCTGCCTGGTGTGGGGGAAATAAATGGTGAGCCTGTGTTGCTGGTTTCCAGCCCCAAACTCGGGTCTCATGGGGTTTTCTGGTGTGTTTTTTCCCTTGGGTGGGGTGTATGGGTGCCCGGGTGTCTCATGGGGCAGGAGGCGGGTAAGGAGAAAAGGCAAAGTATTGATACTGGCAAGATGGCGGGATCCGTCGCAGAAACTGGGGTTGTCGTTGACAGCTGATGGTGTGAGCTGTGGGTGTGAGGACTCTGGGGCACAGGGAACTCGTCGGTGTCGGGGCAGAGAAGGGGAGACAGGCCCCAGGCTCTCCCGGTGCCTTCCCAGGCCCACCGTGCCCCTCATGGCCTCGCGTGGCTCTCCATGTGGTCAGTGCTGGAGGAGGCGAATTGTCCATCCCGGCCTCTGCAGGGTCCTTTGGATCAAGGGGGTCGTGGATGGGATTTCTTGGGGTCACGGGGCTCCTGCTGAAAGTGAGGGTTTAAAACGAGCTAGAATCCTCCTTTTTTTTCCGTTGCTGGGTGCCCAGGAGGCCCTGGTGGCTCTGGGCTGGTAGCTGAGGGGCAGGCAGGGAGGGAGGTGCTGAGCTGTTGGAGGCCACCAAGGCCACCAAGACCAGGCCAGGACTGAGGACATTGCTGGAAGAGCACGGAGGGTGGGTCCTTGAGCTTTGGAAATGGTTTCCAAGTCTCTGGGAGGAGGGATGCACCTCTGTGTACCCAAGGATTTAGAGAGGGCACCAGGCTGGGGGTGGCACTCCAAATGGCTTTCAACCCAAAACTGTAATTACTCAAGGAGCGGATGGAAATGGGAAAAGAGGATTAGCGGGGTGCCCTGCTGGGCCTGGGGGTGCAGGTGGCACAGGGAGTACCCGGATTCAACACTGGCCCTGCCAGCTCTCTCAGCTCCACCCAGAGCTGGGTCAGAGCCACCGTGGCCCTCTCTGAGCAATGCCCAGGACCCTGGCACCTCGCTCCTACTGTTTCTGGGGATCAAGCCCTCTCTAAGCAGCCGCAGTGTTACCCAGTTCGTGTTCCCTTCCCAGCCTGTGATGCGCCATTCTGCCCAGTTTGATGGTCTTTCGGGCCTGGGGTGCGTGTGCATGAGCTGAGGTCAGAGTGACCCTAAGAGACCCCAGCACCTGCCATCCTGTCTGGCCACAGTAGCACCTGCTGCCTCTCCTGTGTAAGGTTTGGGGGAGCCGGGTGTCTTTAACCTGGACAAAGGGAGTCCGGGATGCCAAGGGCTTTGCCTGCAAGGCTCTGCCCCTTTCCTCACTCGGCCCTCTGGGGTGTGATGGCGGCAGCACCCCCGGAGTGTTCTGAAGCCCCCCCATGGCCTCTCCCTTCTCCCTGCCCCCTTCCTGCACCTGTCAGCTGTCTCATTGACTGTCTGGCTTGGCTGCCACCCATCCTCTCCTCCCAGGCCGGCCTCGCCCCCGCCCCCGCCCCCGGCCCACACTCCCTCCCTTCCTGTCTCTGCCCACGGCTGTCTCTACCTGCCCGTCGCCGGCACACCTGAGGATCCGGGGCTGCCTAACGGAGTGTGGGCACAGTTCAGGGTGTTTACCAGACAGCCAGGATCAGGTATTAAATCCTGTTGCTGTCTTCCCAGGGCCGGGTTCCTCAGATGGTTTTCCAAATCCCTAATCTCAGCGCCCGCATCCCTGCCTGGCCTATGTTTGATGGAAGCTTTCCTTTCCGATTGAAGCTGAACCCCGCAGGATCCGTCGCGAGGCTGGGTCTGGGTTCCCACCGGTGCGCGATGACACAGCTCGAGGCCCCTTCCTCCCTGGTTCTGCCTTCCTCCCCTCCTTCCTTCCTTTGGGAAGCTCAGTGGTGGAGGCCAAGAGTCTGCCACCAGGGGTTCTAGAGGCTTCTCCAGCCTCAGCAGCCCCTCACTAGTGTGGTCCCGAGGCCATCTGCTGTCACTGGAAGTGTGTATGTGTCCCATGCCAGAAGCCAGGGAGATCCAGTTTAAATGACAGCCCTGCCCAGGCCTCCAATCTAGGGGCCAGTGTGGGGTTTACTCCTGGTGCCGAGTACCCTGACCCGTCCGAAGATGTTCCTACAGCACACCTGTCCTCCACGCGATCTCTGACTTGGTTTGGGATGTCACAGCACTAGGGATGAGGCACGCTGCTGTTTGGTGCTCAGGGTGGACATCCTGTCCTCCTTCAGCTGGCTCCACCTCTGGGTATCAGAAGGGCTCAGGTACTCCCCAGAGTCCAGGGACGTTGAGGCACCCAGGGGTCTCTGTTCTTGATGTGCTGCAGAGGCAGCTCCCGCAGCCTTCCCTTCTGTGGGACACCCGAGGACATGTCCCTTCCTAGGGTGGCAGACTGCTCTGCCGTGTCCTTAATCTGCTTTCCTGGAACCTGGGCTTGGAGAGGCCCATTGGTTCCCTCCCAGGAGGGGAGGGACAGGACTGGGACCCATTCCTGACCGCTGGTGGTGGCCTGGATCTACCCCTCCGAGGGTGCCTGGCCCTGGTGGGTGTGTCCTTTCTCTGATCTGCCATGTGACCTGGGCAGACCCTTCTAGTCTGGCTACAGACTGCCTTTCTTCTACCATGCTCCTTCTCCTCCTCCCTCTAGGCAACCGCAGGGCTCTTGGGTCTCACAACTGCCCGAGCCTCCCTCCCTCTCTCTCAGGTCCCCTCACCGTGTTCTTGCTGGGCTCCAGGTGGCACATGGTCCCACCTTGCCCCATTGCCTTCGAAGTTTCCACTGCTCTAGGCTTTTCTTTGTGTTCTTTTTTTTTATTAGTGTGCTTCGGGGAACACGGGTCTAAGTGAGGGCCTTGGCAGGTGCACAGAATGTGACAGTCGGCTTGGCTCTGGGTTCTCAGCTAGCACCGTCACCAGCAAAGCTACAGGCCAGGGCTCCCAGGGAGTCCTGGGTGCCAGAGCTCTTGGTATTATTTTGGAATGTTCTTATTTTGAATACGTGTTCGTTTTCTAATATGTGTTCTGGACAGTGCTCAAGAAGTGAGATAGAGGAGGAGACAGGCAAATTCTAGAGAAAATCTAGAACTGGGCCAGTCAAGACGACGACACCGAGGAGGGCAAGGAGGAGGGTAAAATTAATTCATTAGCAGAACTTGTTTACTAGCCTTGCTAGGCGCCTCCATTTTAAAAGTCTACCTTTACAATAAGTCGCTAATTAAAATACCAAATTAAGCAACAGCTCTGTTTTTTTTTCCCCTTACACTTTAATTGCATGATTTTTTGTGATGTAATTTCTGGAAACACCCAGTATACCTCACAGGGCTGATTGTGTGATAAACTATAAGCACCTGAAACCAGCCCAAAAAATAAATATATAAAGCCAAGGGTAACCTAAGGTAGATTGGGAATGATAGAGGACAGCAGACAACAGGGAACCAAAAATCCATAATAATAATAATAAACCTTCGAAGTAAGAGCATTTATCCTGCTGCTTATACCTCCCACTTTCCCCCCACACACACCAAAATCAGAGCAATCTCTGCGTGTGGGAGGAGGGTAAAGCTGAGAGAGAAGTGTGACGAGGGGGGCGGTCACCGCCTGTCCCTCCCTGTCCCCCCAAGTCAGTTCACAGGCTGACAAAAACTGGGACTCTTCCCTGACTTCACTTCTAACCAGCTCTGTACTTTGGGGGGATTCTGACCTTTGAGGGTGATTTTCTTTGGCCCCTCTTGTTCTAAACGTGGAAGCAATCCCAAGAGGGGGTGGGTGGGGTGACACCAGTCTCTCTGGGAAGAGGCAGGCAGTGTAGCCCTGGCCTGGCTGCTGGCCC